AGCATGGTACTGGTACCAAAACAGAGATATAGACCAATGGAACAAAACAGAGGCACCGGAGGCAACACAACATATCTACAACTATACAATCTTTGATAAACCTGACAAAAACAAGCAATGGGGAAAGGATTCCATGTTTAACAAATGGTGTTGGGAAAACTGGCTAGCCATGTGCAGAAAGCAGAAACTGGACCCCTTCCTGACACCTTACACTACAATTAACTCCAGATGGATTAAAGACTTAAACATAAGACCTGGCACCATAAAAACCCTAGAAGGAAATCTAGGCAAAACTATCCAGGACATAGGAGTAGGCAAGGACTTCATGAACAAAACACCAAAAGCATTGGCAACAAAAGCCAAAATAGACAAATGGGACCTAATGAAACTCCACAGCTTCTGCACGGCAAAAGAAACAGTCACTAGAGTGGATCGGCAACCAACAGAATGGGAAAAAATGTTTGCAGTTTACCCATCTGACAAAGCGCTGATATCCAGAATTTACAAAGAACTCAAATGGATTTACAGGAAAAAAACAAACAAGCCCATTCAAAAGTGGGCAAAGGATATGAACAGACACTTTACGAAAGAAGACATATATGAGGCCAACAATCATATGAAAAAATGCTCATCGTCACTGGTCATCAGAGAGATGCAAATCAAAACCACATTGAGATACCATCTCACGCCAGTTAGAATGGTGATCATTAAAAAATCTGGAGACAACAGATGCTGGAGAGGATGTGGAGAAAAAGGAACACTTTTACACTGTTGGTGGGAGTGTAAATTAGTTCAACCATTGTGGAAGACAGTGTGGCGATTCCTCAAGGCCTTAGAAATAGAAATTCCATTTGACCCAGCAATCCCATTACTGGGTATATATCCAAAGGACTATAAATCGTTCTACTATAAGGACACATGTACACGAATGTTCATTGCAGCACTGTTTACAATAGCAAAGACCTGGAATCAACCCAAATGCCCATTGATAATAGACTGGATTGGAAAAATGTGGCACATATACACCATGGAATATTATGCAGCAATCAGAAATGATGAGTTTGTGTCGTTTGTAGGGACATGGATGAATCTGGAGAACGTCATCCTCAGCAAACTGACACAAGAACAGAAAATGAAACACCGCATATTCTCACTCATAGGTGGGTGATGAAAAATGAGAACACGTGGACAAAGAAAGGGGAGTACTAAACACTGGAGTCTATTGTGGGGAAAAGGGGAGGGCCAGTGGGAGGGGGAGGTTGGGCGTGATAGCCTGGGGAGAAATGCCAAATGTGGGTGAAGGGGAGAAGGAAAGAAAAGCACACTGCCATGTGTGTTCCTACGCAACTGTCTTACATGCTCTGCTCATGTACCCCAAAACCTAAAATCCAATAAAAAATAAAAATAGAAAATAAAAAAAAAATAAAAAATAAAAATTTAAATATTTCTTTTAACCCTTTTAATGGCTTTTGTTTCTAATTATTTCTTATTGGACATTAATATTCTTACACCTGTTTTTGTTCATCATATGTTCCTTTAAATGCTATGTATGTATCAGAGCTGGTTAACTGATGGCACTGGTTTGGCAAATATTATACTTAAGAACGTGGTGGTTGCATTATTGTTTTCTGAGTGTTACTTAACTTTCTTTAATTCATTTGGGCATTGAAGTCTGTTTTTTGGCTTTGTGGTCATCACTCACATTTTTCTTATGGTCCCGATGTGTGATTTGTCAATCAGAAATGGTTGTATCTTAATCTTATTTTTTAGGAATTGACTTTTGTGCTTGTTTTTCTTTTTCTTACTTTCTATTTTTGGTTTTGTTTTGTGTGTTTTTTGAGACAGAGTTTCACAATCTCAGCTCAGGTAAGTTTTGTATTTTTTGTAGAGGCAGGGTTTCACCATGTTGCCCAGGCTGATTTGAACTTCTGGACTCAAGCAATCTGCCCACCCTAGGCTCCCAAAATGGTGGGAATGCAGGCATGAGTCACCTTGCCAACTTTGGTGTTTTTTTTTTTTTTTTTAATAGCCGTACAAAGACTAAGAAAGGATTTCCACTGGCTTCTTTCATACTGGCTGGATAGAGCCAGTTAGGATACTCTCCTAATTTTGTTGTCTCCGGTTATGAGTGGGTACATGTCTTCCCAGAACAAGATCTTTTTTTCCTCTGTATATATTTAGATTGTTTCATGCCCCTTTGACAAGTAAGATGAATTATTAGGGCTAATGATGGGATTTGAACCCTTCAGAAAATATGTGATAGAGAGTACCACACACATAGGGAAGTAAAGAGCTAAAGTCATTATCTATAATATTCAGGAGTAGAAATGCATTTGTATGGTATGCGTTCATATAGTTTTGCTCATATATTTAAATTAGATAGAGTTCCTAAAAATTGATTCTGGATAATATGCTGATAAAGTTCTGCTGTTTTTTGGAATACATTTCACTGGTTAGGCAACACCTATTAATGCTGTATCTCACATATTGCTTCATCTGAGGCTGTCGGAGTTAAGGAAACTACCCAACATTTTGAACCAAAAGGAAAGAAAATAAAATATAAAAGAACTACCTCAGCTTGACCCATGAAAGTAAAATAAATGTGTTGACAGAGGTCTGAGAAGTCAAATAATGGGAAGAGAAAGAATAATAAAATTGAGCAAGACTTCCCATGGTTCAGTAAAATGGCTCCTGAATATAATGTTATAGCTATATCAGTTTGTGTTTACTTATCTAAAGGGCTAAGGAGATCATCATGGATATGACAATGAATTTTGAAAACTAAAAGAAAAAGTGTGTATAAATTATAATGCATTTCCAAAATACCTTTCATATAACTGTACTCTGAGGAGACAACTTCATTGGCAAAGTCAGTAGAGATTAGAATACTCAAAATTGGTAAATTCTGAGGTGCAGATAGCCATTTAACTTGGAATTACTGTGTTTTCCAAACTTTAAGGCACTAAGAACTTTTATGAATCATCTATTACTATTCAGCAGTTCAGAAAAGACAATATATTATATTACATCATTTTCACGGACATAGAATTTGTATACTTTGTAATATATCTATTTCATAGAAATGTGATAGTATGAAAAGCTTTATTTTTTACATCAATGAATAAAAGTACAAGCTAAACATAAACAAGCCAAGTGTCTGACATATACATTACATAACTAGCCTGTTTATAGATTATACCTCAGAGAGACTTATGTCCTGGCAAAAATAAATGTCTTTGTCCTGGAGTAACAGTGACTTTAAATACTTAGACTTATTCTAGTGGAGGTTAAATGTTTCTGGAAAACCTTTTGGTTTAAGATTCTAAGAACAGTTGGAGAAGACGGGTTTAAAAGTTATCTTCATAGAACTTATCTACTAATATAATAAGCTAAAAGTAATAAATAGAGTGAGATGAATTTCACTCATGAAAATCACTCATAAACTCATTCTGAATTTCAAAATACTGTGAGAGAAAATGTAAATACAAAGCTTTTGCTTATGGAGATAATTTCATTAATATAATTCTGCCTATCTATTTACTTATCTACCTGTCTATCTAGCTATCATACAAAGTAAATATTTGAAAATTGTTTATGTTCTAAAACTGATCATTCATGTACAGCATAACCAAAAACTTGGCCAGTAGTCAGCAGGAATTATAACAGAGTAAAAGCATTCTCTCTGTGGTGTTCAATATCAACTTACTAAGTTGTCCTTGATGGACAATTCCAAGGTTTCATATGAGTTCAAACCCCAATAGGTTTCCTCCATGATACGTGTTTTAAGTTGGACAGGAACTTGTTAAGCTCCACAACTAACATTGATAGAACAAATTTAAGCTTCGTGCTGAACATTACCTGTATACTAAATACTACATTGCCACTAATAATGGCTACTATTGAGCATTTATCAGGAATGTTGAAATGGTAGAAACTTCACAGATTATTGTAACTCACATCTACATTTAAAGCAAGAGGAACAAGTTGTAGAGATATGAAAGTGATTTATCCAAAGTCAGTTGGTGAAAGGGTAAGAGATCCTGACTTTTAATTCAATGCTATTTCTATTGCACCCACCACTTTTAAATGGCCTTCCATAATTCAATGGAGTCTGATAAGGCTCCTTTGATTTTTAGAAGGTAATTTCCTATACATGGTTTGTATATATCACTTCAACCTCAATTTTATGTGAATATATTACCATTCACATCATGTTAGAATAAAAGAGACTGAAGGGAAGAGTCTGACAAAACAGATAAAATGGCTTTCTTTGTTAAGATAAGAAACATTTTGTATAATAATATACGTATATGTATCATTATGAGTTTAAATAATACAATGTCAGAAGCACTGAGCAGATACATTTTTAAATATACCTTGTTTTTCTCTTCCATACAGCAAGCATCTACTCTATATTCTCCTCTGAGTTTTTCAATAATTTGTGTTAAGGGAATGTATATTTGCTTAAGAATCAGTCAAAGTAAAAAGTAATTTGACAAATAATCTTCTTTCTGGAAAAATTATATAGTATGCACATACATATACACACAAACACATATATACACACAGACATACAAACAGATGGACTCAAAAGTCAAATGTCTACATAAATATGTATGTTTGTAAAAACACACATGTATACTGACACAAATACTTTATCTGTGTGATGTTACCTCTATCAACACAGATAATTATGAAACTATTTCTATAATTTGTATGTCTGGACATATAAACAATGCATATTTACTGCATTTCTTCTTAAAGGGTCCTTCTTTATGTAACAGTTGTTTGTAGATGTCTTTGGGGACAGCATCTCTGGTTAGTTTGTGGTTGGTATCTAGTTTCATTTAAATCTATAGTCTACTGCTTACTTTGTAAACCCCGTAATTCAAATGTATAGATCATCCACTATTCAAGATTAATTAGTATCATGGCTCTTTTCATCTTAGAAAACACTCTTAAGACAACATTCTAAACATTTGAGGTGAATAATCTTAAAATCATATTATAGTTTTTTTAATGTTTTTTTTGAAAAGTAACTGGCTTCACAAACACCAACTGCAACATGATTTAGACAACTGAGAAACAGGCAAGTATATTTTGCAGTGCTAAAATAAAACATATTTATACAAGTACAAAGCAAAATAATGCTGATAAAAATGTTAAACTTTATGAAAAAAACATTTGCAATTCACATCAAAATAATTTAACATTCGCTATTATTTTAATAGTACAAGCTGCCACAACAGAGAAAGAACAGATACACGCACACAATTTTAAAACCAAATCAGTTATAAGTGCAGAAAAAAGTAAGTACAAGCACTTTTAGCCCACACAAATCTTTTAGGATTGGCACCATCTTTCTAAAACATCTATAATCTATATAGATTTCTAATTACAACACCATCAGCAGCTGCCATTGATTTCTAGAAATACACACAATATACATAGTATATTTGTTCACATTGGGAAGATCAGTGAAATTCAACCAACTATTTTATACATGCCTCATTCTTCAATAGACAGTAGAGAATCTCCCAGGCCTCAGACCCTCTTCAAAGTGAATTCTGGTTTATCTCTATGCTTTCACTGATCTGTATTTTTTTCACAGTATAAAATTGTAATGGTAACTATAGAGATTCTGACAGCTTGAGGGTTATTAATAAGCTGTTGCTAAATGTGAACTCAGATAATATCTTTGAAGTCTCCAAAACATGTACATTTTACTAGGAGACTAGCATAGGAAATGCTTTTGTTTTTTTGTTATTCTTAAAAAGAGTGTTTAATTCCTGGCTTGGAAGTCACAGAACTGCAGCAGAGCGATTATACAATTCATTTACAGTCAGACATAGCTCCTAGTCTTCCTGATCACTTGCTGGTAACAGCAGTAGTTTGGGAATGACAGTTACTTTCAAGGATTAGCACATTTGGGGACTTGCTTTTTTTTCTTTGCTTCAGTCAAATCTCTTACAATTTGTCTTTTCATACTCCCTTTCTTTTCCCCATCCCTAGCCCAGAAAAACAGTTCTTCCCAATCCAGATATGTTCTTCTTAGGCTGCCCCCACTCCACTCCTTTCCCAAAATATAAGGATGAGTGGACTGCTTAGCTTGGTTAAACCACGTCGTCTTCCTTCCATCCTGGGACATATCTCTCCTTTAGGGTCACTTTGCTGAGCCTTAGCATATCCCCTTCTTTTAGTCATGCTGGTCCCGACTGAATTATCACTGGGCACCAGGAACAGATTGTTTTGAAGGAAATTCAATGAGAATGTACCCAAATGAATTGTGAAGTTCATATCCTATAGCCCTAGAATGAATATTCAGTTCTCTTTGTACTGTAGAGTTATTACTGTACTTGGAACCTGGTATTAGAATTGGCAAAGAGACAGAGTTAGCATCATTCCAAAATAAAAGATCTCAAGAATGCATTACTAATAATCTTATGGCCAATATACAGTGTATTCAATGAAGTGGTAAAAGTTATAGAAATACAGAGAAAAATATATCTTGTTCTCTTCTAATTGGATAAATCATTTTTATTACTACAGTTGATTATAATAGTATGTGGAATTATCAGATGGCAATTTACTTGCATTAAATTTAATTTCTAATGAAGTTTCTTAAAAGGTAGTGTATTTTTTAAGAGATATGTTACTAAAAAAATAGAAAATGAATTTGACCATGGATAAAGTTTAAACATGTTGTTCTATTGGTCTAGAGTGAAACATATTGTACTTGAGAATAGAATGAAAATCAACATAAGGATTTTATGAAACAAATTTTAAAATGCAGAGAGAGCATATTGAGAAAGGTCTGTAATACCTAAGCTGTCAAGATAGGAATCCCCAGGTGAATGCCATCCTTTTGATGAGGATCCAGAGGGTATTAATTATTCAAAAGATTTACATTTTTCAGGTAAAGGCAGACGTTTGCTCTTAATGAAACCATGAAACTTAGTTAGATTTCACTTATATTTTAAAAGCCTCATTATAAAATTGGGGTCGGGTCCTCTTGATGATGTTATTTTCAAATCTAGCATGGGAAGTTTGATTTTTTAAATTAATATTTTAGCACATTAATGTTAGCTTTAATATTTTGTATTGGTAGCTTTGACTTAAGGTTTCAAGTAAGAACAAATAGCAGAAAAGAAAACTCAACAAGCAGAATATTTATTAGAATTTTTTAAAGTGAAGAATGATAAATTATACCAATGGATTGACTTCTATTTCTCAGGCTATTTTCTTTTTTTTTGAGACGGAGTCTTGCTCTGTCACCAGGCTGGAGTGCAGTGGTGCAATCTTGGCTCACTGCAACCTCTGCCTTCTGGGTTCAAGCAATGCTTCTGCCTCAGCCTCCCAAGTAGCTGGGACCACAGGCATGTGCCACCATGTCCAGCTAATTTGTTTGTATTTTTAATAGAGACGGGATTTCACCGTGTTGGCCAGGATGGTCTCAATCTCTTGATCTCTTGATCCGCCTGCCTCAGCCTCCCAAAGTGCTGGGATTACAGGCGTGAGCCACGGCGCCTGGCCTTCTCAGTCTATTTTCTTTTAAGTAAATGTGAAATAAATAAAAAAAAATACTTACCAAAATAAGGATATTGAGCTAAAAGAAAAAGTTTTATTTATTTTTCTCTCTGCCAAAAATATACTTCTGCCTCAAAGCAAATCTTTTTCATAAGGCTATCTTAAGTATAAGGCTGGGTCAAATGAACTTTAAATTTATAGGACATCTCCATTTATTACTATCCGTATTAAAAATCAAAACATTTGGTACCTGAGGATAGCTGCGATGGGAGGAAGAAAGAGATGACAGTGGATTCAGGTCTTGAACTATGAATTCTACCTATTTGAGACTATCAAAGCACACATGTTTCTATTATAACACTAAATCTCTTTTCTGCAGTTTTAAAAAGTGACAGTATGAAGTGCACAAAATAATATTAATCATTATTTTAAAAAAGAAAATAAGAATTGCTTTGCCTCTTTTTGGAATGGCTAAGAATGTGTGGTTAATATTCATTAAGGTTCCTCTTTTTTAGTATTTTGTATTGCTTTGAAAAATCTACATTTGTCATAGTTCATAGCTGCCTTGTTTAAGCAGCCAAGAATAGTTAAAATCACTGCTCACTGGTGTAGCTAAATCTCCACTAAGCTGACTTGACACAGTTTAAAATTTTCAGTGTATTAAGATTGTGTTAATCCTTTCAACAACCGTCTCTCAAATTGTGACAATGTCTTCATGGGGTCAATGGACCACTCTTCCAGTGGTGGGACTCAAAAAGAACAAAGGAGCTCTTCGTGCATCAGGTTCTCAAAATAAAGAAATGAAGAAGCCCCAATGCGTGTTTTTATATTTTAGTTGGCAATGCAATTGGAACAGCATTCCTAAGGAGTGGCCATTTTTCTTGAAAGAGATAGCCGGGCTGGAGCTCAAGAATGATCAATATAAAGAGAATTTCCAGCTACAATGCACCCCAGTGAGGGAATTACAAAACAGTATTCCAGAAAATATTTTTTTGCTACTCCAGTATTGATTGGCAACATGGTGAAATAGTCAAGAAATCTTCCACTGGTTTTCTTGGTTAATGGAGGTGAATCTGAAATAAGTAGGTGGAATTCCCAATGCAGGCTTTTGGAAGAGTATTTCACAACCAAATTGGAGAGGAGAGTCTCTGGTAGAAGCCCTACGTAGTACATTAACGCAGCACTCACTATCCAGTACTGTGTTATGCACGGGACACATTCACAACGCCTCAGTAAATACTGGACCCAAGTTACCGCTTTTCAAGGTCTTTATAGGAAAGAAAAAAGCAAAAAGAAAAAAGAAAGAGAAAAGTTGATGTTTTGGTCCCAGATTTTGAGTTTGTTAGAAAATGTACATTCATGTTTGGTGAATCAAAGACTCTTCTGGGAACAGAATTAAAGTAAACAAATAAAACTTTTTACAGTTGCTTATTAACTATGCTCTTCGCCCTCCGTTACGCTGTTTCACACGCACTGCTTCCCTAGAGCAAAGCACTTGGAACTGTTGGAACAGACGCCTTGTCAGCCCTCAAAGATACCAGCAGTGTTTCTTAAAAGCCCACGTTTTCTAAGGCCACTAGAAGAAAATCTGCCAAAAGATTTGTCGTCGGTTGTCGTGAGATAGCACTATTGATCTCGTGTTTCCATCAAGGGGTGCACTTGGCATCTTCCCCCTGGGCCGTAACCAGGCGACTATGCTTGCCACTGTGTGTGTGAACACTGGGGGCTCCGCTCCACTCCGCTAAGCTCAGCGCGCGCAACCCGGCGCGCTTTCCAGGGACGTTCACAACGACGAGGAGCTCTGAGTGTAATCTCTTATGATAAGAGTGTCATATTTGGGAGACGACGGGATACAGAGGGCCGACTCGGATACTGGCGAGTTAGGGGTTGTGCTCCCCGAGTCCACCGAGTCTCTGAAGGGGGACGGTGGGGTGAGGGCCACCAACTCTTCCAGGTCTGGCTTGCCAGCCACAGCCTCGGGCCCGGCCGTGGGGCTCTCCCGGGCCGCGTCCCCAGCCGCCTGCGCCCCCACCACGGGCTGCGCACCCCCCGTGACCTCGATGGCCGGCAGAGGCTGGATTTCGGCGAAGGTCGTCATGGTAGTGGGCAGCTGGATCTCTTTGGGGATCAGGTAGGACGAGCAGAGCGGGGCGCCCACGCCAGGGCTGGGGGCCGCGGTGGACAGCATCATGGAATTGAGCTCGCTGATGTTGGCGGTGAAGCGGGTGACCACGCTGCTGATCTGCTCCATGAGCGAGCCCTGCGAGGAGCTGCTGCGCGCCGCGGGCTCCGAGTGCAGCGACGGCACATCGTCCTCAGTACGGCTGGCCGAGCCCGCGCGGTGGCTCAGCGTGCTGATGGGCGACGGCGAACGTGGCCGCGCGGGCGCCGGGAACTGCTCTTCCGCCTCGGCCACGTCGTATAGCGCTTTGGGACCGGAGTCGGGAGGCTCAGGCCCGCAGGGGCTGGCGCTTGCGCAGCCCGCACCACCCGCGGCCCCCACGCCCCCTGCGCTCCCGCCCGCGCCTGCGCTCAGGCCGCGGCTCTCCGTGCTCTTGGGGAAGGGCTTGATGACCGCTGTTTGGTTGGGGTTCTCTTTCTTGTTGATGTGGATGGACAGGCGCTGCCACAGGTGCTGCCCCCGGGTACTCTTCTCGTTCTGGGCCCACGTGACGGATTTTCCATTGGAGCTGTGGAGAGAAGGGAAAGGAGAGGTGACTCAGCGAGATGCCCAGGGAGTTTGGACGCCACTTCCCCAATGGTGGGTGCTCATGGGCCAAGAAGAGGACTTTTCTAATTCTTTGAGGAAACACCACATCAAAAGTACATTATGGAAAGAGACCTTGGAAGTGGCTTTCATTTGTTTTGCGTTAAAGGCTGCTTTCTCTTCAGCAGTTTATCATTGTCATGAAAATGTGTCAAAGGGGGTGCTGGTCGGGATGAAGGAGGGTTTATCAGGATTCTGCTGGAGTTCTGAGCCCACCTGTGAGTGCAGCAGCACACATAGATACAAGGGCTTGCAGTCTCCTGGCTGTGTGCAAAGTGCCTGGTACAGGGCAGAGGGTTCCTAGAGTTAGTGGCCTCTGAAGGGAAACATTACCACTAGGACCCAAACTCACCAGCAATCATCAGACAGGAGGGAAAGGGTAAGTCAGGGAATACAAGGAGGTAGACAGTGGTTCCAGTTCAGCCTTTATTCTGGAGGTGGTTATATATAACTAGGGGTTTCTGTCCGAACTCCTGATTTTGAACACACAGTTTTACTTAGGCTGCCTTACCTGCTGGAAAATAAAAATTTAATGAACATATGTTTCTATTTAGAACTTCCTTCATAGAAATTCATCTCACAAATTTATTTTGAGGCCTATTCTTGAATAACAATTTGATGAGTGAGAGTGCTGTATAATGCCTCCAGCACTTAGTAGAGTGATTCAGATTAGGATCCTGCTGAATATTGCCGGACTGAAACTTTTTTAAAGAGGGAGCTCTTTCTCCTTTGTGCTTCTACCGTGGGGTCTGAAAGCCACTTTCAAGATGTGATTGGTGCCTCAGCCTTAGCACCTGAAGGTACTCTCCTTACCACTAAAAGCTGACACTGTAGCTTCTAAAGCTACAGACCTTCTTTCAGGAACTTCACGTAAGGTCAGAGGATGTGGCCTGACACTTGAAAATTATTTATTTATTTATTTTAGACGGAGTTTTGTTCTTGTTGCCCCACCTGAAGTGCAGTGGCACGATCTTGGCTCACTGCAATCTCTTCCTCCCGGAGCCAAGTGATTCTCCTGCCTCACCCTCCCGAGTAGCTGGGATTACAGGAATGCGCCACCGTGCCCAGCTGATTTTGTATTTTTAGTAGAGATGGGGTTTCACCATGTTGGTCAGGCTGGTCTCAAACCTCTGACCTCAAGTAATCCACCCACCTCGGACTCCCAAAGTGCTAGGATTACAGGCGTGAGCCATGTCACGCCTGGTAGAAATTTTTTTTAGATGAAGTTTTGCTCTTGTTGCCCAAGCTAGAGTGCAGTAGCACAATCTGGTCTCACTGCAATCTTCGCCTCCTGGATTCAAGTGATTCTCCTGCCTCAGTCTCCTGAGTAGCTGGGATTACAGGCATGTGCCACCACAACTACCTAATTTTGTATTTTTAGTAGAGTGGGGTTTCACTACATTTGTCAGGCTGGTCTCGAACCTCTGACCTCAAGTGATCCACCGGCCTCAGACTCCCAAAGTGCTGGGATTCCAGGTGTGAGCCACGGCATCTGGCGGGGAATGTTATATGAGGAGATCCTGGTATAGTTCTCCATCACAAAGTAATCCAAGTTCTCTGTTACTAGGCATCTGTTATTTTCAGTTGAAACGGCTCTGTTCTAGGGGCTGTGACCAACAGATAGCCTTGAGCAGCTTGACCACAAAAGAAGTTGAAGACTGTGGTTTTATCATCACAGCCTATGGTTATTAAACTAAATTCTGTGTAAGACTCACCTAGGGCATTTGTCAAAGATATAAGATGTGACCCCAGGAGACTCTGATTGTCGGGATTGGGTTCCAGGGATCTATGCTTTTGACAAACCCTCTGTCCTTCTTCTCCCAAAGTAATTATGAACCACTTTGTTTCTCAGATTCTTTCACAAACTGAGAAACTGGCAGAAAGCTGTCCTTTTTTTCTAGACCCCCATCACTCCCTTTGGCCCCTTTTGCTGGAGGGCTGGCTTGCTTTTGAGGGACAGGGGCCTGTACCTCATTTGGAATCCACCTACCTGACTGCCCCTGCAAGATCTACTCTGCCTGAGAAACCAACTCCCTTACTAACAGATTGCCATTTTTGCAGTCCCTGTAATGACATGCTTCTTGCCTGTTTTCACACTGCTTCCCATTTCTTCATCTGTTCCTTTCTACTTCATGGTCTTTCTTTCTGTTTCTCTGCTCCTTCCTGTGAAATTTCTTTCCATTTAATCTACCCAGTATATTGCAGCCTCATGTCCTTTAGAATCCTGGAATATGAGCTGCTTCACCCCACCTTGCCCTTCCTAGCAAGGATGAATGAATCATTTTGAGGTTTGGAGATTGCTGTGCATCTCTGGTAGTAGAGTGGATAGGGCCAAACAGTTGGTTTTGCTTTCTAGTGGTTTCAGGATTTATTTTTCCATTTTTCCTTTAGCCTGAGTTGCGAGTATTGTATTTCTTTTTCCCTGGTGTCCACTAACTTCTGGAACATGGCAGAGAAGAAATGGGCCAGTTTATTTATGGGATTTGATTGTGAGGATGGTTGCCAACCACACCCTGTCTCTCTTACCAGAAGATTAACAAACAGGTGCTTTGAATGGTACAGTTATTCTCCCAGGTCACTAACCCTCCTTTAATACAAAGCATGGGCTTGAAATCAGGAGTCTAACTGCATTTATTCTGTCAACTTATACCGTAGGGACAATCTTGGTCCTAGCAGAGAGAGGTTTTGCAAACATTTGCTTTTAAAAAGTTTTTTTTTCCTCTCTGGAATGCCTTCAGTTGAACATGATGGAACATAACTTTGAATGTTAGCAGTAACAGTCTTTGGAATCACTGTAGCCATGCCACAAAACATGATGTAACATGAGCATGTTGCAAACCCTTTAGGTGAATGTGTGATGAGGAAGCCATCTTAACTCATCAATTCTGTACAAGGTGTTGACATCTCTTCCCTGGCTGTGCCTTTGCTTACAGTGTCCATGGCCATAAGGGAGAGAGAACACCAGACCATTTGAGTAACAGTGAAGGTGGACACAAAAAACACTAGACAAGCAGAGAGATGGAGTCTAAATCTGAGTACTTCATTTTATTCTTTAGAATGTGAGAGGCTTTTTCCCCTGAAGTAAATGAGAACTCTTAAGAAAGAAAAAAACAAAAACCTACTAACAACATTATTCTGTTTATTAGTAGAATGTACATTCCTTGAAGACGGAGATCTTATCTATGTTGTTCAGTGATGCTCAGCATAATCTTAATAAGCATTTGATGGATGAATAGGATTCCTTATTAGTGAACAGGGCGCTGTGGGGTATCATGGAAAGTGCAATAGAAAAGTGATCTGAAAACCCTGTTCTTACTGTGGATCTGCCGTTTTAGATGCTTGGAAAAGAATGATCTTTTTAAGCCTTAGAAAGAAGCAGACAGTGTCTCATTTGGTTAAGGTTGTTTTGAGATTAAATGAGACAATGTAGGTGAAAAGAGCTGGTAGAGGTGTCTAAGGATGTTCCATTTTTGTATTTCATGTGAATACAACATTTCAGAAAATAAAAAGTGTACTCAATGCCATTTTGAACCCTGAGTTAAGGAACAGAGAATTCAGGGCAAAGTAAAATATTTGGCAAGCCATAAAACATTTCAGGGTCTTTTTCCTTTACCTGACCAACTGTAATAAACACTGGAGTTCTGTGATCTGTGGCCTCTTTTCTCACCCTAACCTGGCTCGTTGGGTAATCACATCTACCCCATTAAATTCTGTTAACCTTCTTCCTTAAATGCTTTTTTGTTGTGTTACATTCCTTTTTGCTTAAGCGTATCCTCTTTTTAAATTTTATTTTACCTTAATTGTCTTGTCTTGAAGAAAGCTTTTCTGACCCTGCTACGCTAGTTTCCTATAGCCCCTGCATTCAGGTGTATAAATAACTCTTTGCTATATGTCTATCTCACCTGTTTGATGGGACACTATGCAGGCACCGTCAGAGGGTTTGTGGTTTTCTATATGCCCAGTAGTACCCAGGTATTGTTTAGAACATGGTAGATGCTCAGTAATATTCTTGGGCCAATAATAGAGTAGGTAAAATACATTTCATTTTTAAAATTCATACTGAATTATTTTCTATTACAATTAAGTTTAAAAAGAATTCAGTATTAATAACTCTATTTTGTCTTATATATCTATTTTTATTTGTTCTATACTTCCCTTTAATCAATAATACTCAATGTCTACAGATTTAAAAAATTTCATTAACTAAATATGAAAATACAAAGCTTGATATCTACCATGAAAATCATAAAATAATTACTTTTTGTAACTCATATCTGTCTTAGTGAAATTGCTCAGTGATGAAATCTTATTGAGGCAGTAGTAATAGTGGCGAGGAGAAAGGACCCAGATTCTCAGTCCAGGATCTGACTCAGAATGATGTTGGGCAAATCATTTGCCACCTTTGAGCTTCTTTCCTTATTGGGGGAAAAAAAGAAAGAAAGAAATCTCCCTGCCCACCTTACATGACCTCTGGGAAAAACCAAAAGGATAATAATACATATGAGGGTGATTTGTATAGAGAGCATAGCCCTCCTGCAAATGCAAGGGGTTATTCATTACCATTAAATCTTCCACTCAGTTGAGCTAAGATGTTGTATTTATTATTTAGGCTGAATCTTTTTTCAGCATCCATATTATATATTTGTCCTTGGGGGCTGAGATAAGAAAAATGAAAGGGAATTTTTGCTACCCATCTATGGCATGTCACCTTCCCTCACTGAATATTTTGTACATTAGAAAAGGAGAAGGAAAGAAGAATGGAGGAAAAAAGGATAAGATGAAATGATTTGCCACATCTGACGAGGGGGCCAGAAGTAACTTCTTGCCTTCTTCCAGGTACCAATTCACCCTTTTGCAAAACATAATATGATGTCATCTTATGTTCTCTCTGTTATGACTATTTGCTTTTTATTTCTGAAAAAC